TCTGTTATGTATATGTGTTCAAAGGCATGTTCAATAATGCTAATTTAAATGTATGCTAATAGATGCTAATGGTAATGCTAACAGATGCTAATGGTGATGCTAAGTAATGCTAACAGATGCTAATGCTAATGCTAACAGATACTAATGCTAATGCTAACACGTGCTAACAGGTGCTAATGCTAATAGATGCTAATGGTAATGCTAACAGATGCTAATGCTAATGCTAACAGATACTAATGCTAACAGATGCTAATGCTAATAGATGCTAATGGTAATGCTAAGTAATGCTAACAGATACTAACATATGCTAATGATGATGCTAACAGATGCTAATGGTAATGCTAACAGATGCTAATGCTAATGCTAACAGATGCTAACATATGCTAATGATGATGCTAACAGATGCTAATGGCAATGCTAACAGATGCTAATGCTAATGCTAACAGATGCTAACATATGCTAATGATGATGCTAACAGATGCTAATGCTAACAGATACTAATGCTAATGCTAACAGATGCTAACATATGCTAATGATGATGCTAACAGATGCTAATGGTAATGCTAACAGATGCTAATGATAATGCTAACATATGCTAATGATAATGCTAACAGATGCTAATGAGGTAATGCTAACTAATGTTCATACATATTCAAACCATTTGTAAATGACTGTAAATAGCAAACAACATTTGAAACTTTAGTTATTTATTTTTATTCATATCGTTCAGTATTATATACAAATAACTTTAATCGTCCATCCTTGCTGGGATACCAGGTGGTTTGTATAAGAATGTCCGTTTCTTTCTTGTATTCGAAGTGTTTTGTTTTTTCTGTTTAAATGGTTTCTTCTTTATATTTACAGAGTTTTGTTGTTTCTCTTTAGATGGTCTATACTCTTCATATTTCATATCTTCATGTTGACGTTTCAATTGTGCCTTTGCTCTGTCAACAACTGCAGTCATGGGTGAAATGATTTGTACCGGTTTAGTATCTTCTTTAATGTCATCTATGCCTATCCACCCTCTTCCTGTTTGAGATACTTTCAATCTATTCTGTCTCCCAGCTCGAATAAGTTTCAACCAATGTTCTGGGTTGTCTACATATGGTACTAGTTTCATGGTTTTTAGTTGATGTGTATATATCAAGTATGAGGATTGAAATGATAAAGATTTGAATATTTCACTCAATATATATTGTCAACTGGCATCAATATCAACTTCTTATCAACATCTGATGTCGTGATATTCTTAGAAACTGATGTCGTGAATTAATGTAGTTCTTGTTGTTATTGACCATTCCAGATTAGAAAGTTGAAAGATTATTTATATTCTTAAGATACATTAAATAGATTTTTCTGTCAAACTTCTGGAACCTTCCAGAATAATGACTCATCGCTATAATCTGTTTTTTGAAAAAGGGGATTAACACTGTAAATAAAAGATGTTCTAGAATATGAAGGATTAACATTGTGATGACACAATTAAATGTCAACATTCAATTATTACATTAAAAGACCATTATTGTTGAAATCAAGTATAGTAAGATCAAATGGTCAATTCAATATAGGACTTAAATAAATAAACCTTTTCAACGGTCAATTCAATATATGATTTAAATAAATAAACCTTTTCATCTGTACACATATTTAATCCAAAATCCAGTTCTCTTTCCTTTTATGCGAACAGTATTTGTTTGACCAGCTCAATAGGATTATTGATTCTTTTCAATGTTGGGTTAATATTGAAAGTAGAATTGTAAACACTGTTTATGGATTATACCAAATTTAAAATAATATTAAAGGGATTTATTTTGTACTTTACTATTCAGTCCAAGAAATACATTTCTCACCCATTTAAGATAACAATGATGTCATGCGCATCTTATCTCTCACCCATTTAAGATAACAATGATGTCATGCGCATCTTATCTCTCACCCATTTAAGATGAAAGCCCCATCCAATTAATTTATCTCCTAATCCCCATTCAATTAATTTATCTCCTGCTCATCAATATCTCCTGCTCATCTTCAGAGATTTTGAAAGCCCCGGGCCCGTGGCGGCCCGTGGCGGCCTGATGCCCTCAGTTTTCTATCTACTCACAGACATTGAAATAGTGAAATTGAAAAGATAGGGGTAGAGGAGAATAAAAAAGGCATATAAAAAATTCTGAAAATGGTATCACCTTAATACTATTACAACAGTTTGTTTCGACATTGAGGAATATACAAGAGAATATGATTCCCGAATACTTGTCAATTAGTTGTTTTTAACTTTATAAATTCATAACATCGTCAAAATTAGCTCGATTTTCATGAAATAAAAGACACTGGAAAGAAAATTCAATATGCAAAGTTATTATCTATCAAACGGAGCAATGCTATCTTTTGTATTTTTATAGATTACAAGGTTACAATCAATATTTCCAAGAGGTTATTACCTGTAGATGAGAGTACAGTAAACAAAATGTAGAATATACAAAGGACCTCGAGTTGTATGTAGAATGGATTTTGGGGGTTTTAATGCATTTTTCTCATGCTTTAAATCTAAAAAAACATGAAAACACTTTAAAACATTTTATTGACTAAAGATTACACCATATGATCCAAATATGTTTCTCATTTTCATGGATAATCCACACAGATTAACACCCATGTATTTTATCTTGTTACAGGGTCTTTGAACAACAAGAATGGTGTATTAAATAGGTTTCTCTTATGCGTGCTTAAAGTCTCCCACTTAGTGTCAAATTGAAACTATGTGAGCAACTTTGTGAGGAAAAATGTGATATTTGGTGAAAGGGGTTCAGACAAGACGGGTTAAGGTGCCGTGGTTAATTAACAGGAAATGACAAAGCAAAAAATTACAATACCATGCTGGATTTTGAAAAAATTTTGAACCAAAATAACAGAGTTCTGTTTTGACATTCAGTCTGTTTAACTAGTTCCACATATAGAAGTCTGATAATGGTAAAACGATTATTTGTGAAAACGTTAAAGATAAAAATACGTATGTATGATTAATTTCGGCGTGGCATGGTCATGATCTGTATACTTGATGCGTCATGAAAAATTTCCAAATTGTCTCTGCTTGGGACATCATTGCTGAAAATACAGTATCTCATACCATACAATATATGCCCTTCAAATGGTCTGAACACAATTTCCATCGATTAAAACATATAGTTATCTCTAGGAGAAGCATGACATGTCTCCCTTGGATAAGTTTTATTTATATTCGTTTGAGTGTAACGAATTAGAATATAAATTATTTCTACATATTACTACAGAGTGTAGCTTTAAGCGTTACGAAAATCGAACGCTATTTTCGAATGCGAGTAGAATATGAGTGAGTGAATAGGTGTGTAGTGTTTATGAGAGAAGAAATCATTCTGGCTACGTCATCTATACAGTGAACACCTTCTTAAACGTCATTGCAGGTTAAACATGTTCAACGTTCGATAGGTTCCATGCATTAGTTCATACCTTTTCAGGCCACATTTCGAGGTTCCTCACATAGAGGTTTTAATGGTGAAAATTAATGCATTCAATCAATCGAAAGTTTTTTCAACATATCATTAAGTCTCAGTCTTTACGATTTTATGTACTCGTAATCCAAATCAACTCGGACATGCATCTGTAGGCATACTTTATTACTGATGTTCATAAATGATGCGTAAATTTACACTACTGGAAAATTATCTGATGTAATTCAATGGGTCCTGGCCTTAATAATTAATAAACGAGATGCGACCTCTAGCCAAAGCTATTTTTAATATCTAATGAGTGTCATGTTATTTTAAAAGCGCAACGCTTTGTAATGTATAGAATATAGCTTAACTGACCTCACCTTATGTCTCAAACCTATCATACTGATGATTGTTCAGGTGGGTGGAGGACATGTTCAGCAATTAAATGTTGAGTTTGTATATTCATATTTACAGAAGCTGTTGACAATGAATTGTTTTTTAATTTTCTAAAGTATTGAAGTTAATACATGAGTAACAAAAAAGTTACAATCGATGGAAAAATGTTCAAAGGACGATTCTCGGTTTGGAGAACGAATTTCATCAATCTAAATGAGCATTATCCCTGCTTCGGACAAATTTGATTTTTTTTACATAATATAGATTTGAATGTCTTCTTTTGAATAGTCATAATTTAATGTGGGTAATATTTCTAGATTTTTCGCAAAGAAATATTAGCGCAGTACACTGATGAAGTTTTTTCCCCAAATCGAGGCTTGTATTTTATTGAATCGGTCAAATTGAGCGTTATCCCTGCTTCAGACCAATTTGTTATTTTTACATCTTGTAGATTTAAATGTCCTCTTTTGAATATTCATAGTTTAATTTGGGTAATATTTCTATATTTTTCATGAAAAAATTATTAGCCCAGGAGACTGTTCTCCAAACCGAGAATCGTCCTTTTATTACTCAATGCAAGGGTTTCCTGAACTTGTCCTCTTCCCACCTGAACAATCAGTCTGAACTGTAATTGACAGTCATACATGGCATAAATGACTGGTTCTGAGACATATCGTGCCAGTTTTGAAAAAGAGATGAGGTCAGTTAAGCTGTATCATTATAATTATAATTCAATTAAGTATAGAAATGATGATGGGTCACTTGTTCGACCTCAAGGCTTCCAAGCGCTGTGAAGTTTTGGAAATAAAATACATGGGTGTTAATCTGTGTGGATTATCCATTAAAATGAATAACATATTTTTGGATCATATTGTGTTATCTTATAGTCAATAAAATGTTTTTAAGTGTTTTATGTTTTTTAGATTAAAAGCATAAGAGAAATGCATTAAAAACCAAATTCATTGTACATACAACTCGTGGTCCTTTTAGGGGATATGTATCTGGACAATATTGGAAACTATGGGTGTTTAAACCACTATGGTTTGGAATAGTTGATGGAAAATCGACTTCTCGTTTATGGTCCAACAACTGTAGTATGCGCAGCTGATTTCAGTTAGTAATCTTTGTGTTTTTCAGAGAGCAAAGCAGATTTTGAAATACGGAGGAGTGATAATTTTCAATACTTCAACACCGTGTCAGATTAGAAACACCTTTACATGGCTACCGACTGAGGAATATCAGAATATAGAAATTAAAGTTATGGGGATTAACCCTGATAAGTTCAAGCAATATTTACAGGTAAACAGTGCTTCGTTAACATTTCCATGGCAATCATCAAGTTCCCAATATATATAGAGGATATCCAATAATTTATGAGTGATTTTTATCCACGAATGGATATGATATCTGTACGTGCGAGCGTAGTGTAGCGTATCCATGAGTTAATGTAGAGGTATTTTTGTCATGAGTCTATTGGTAAAATATTATCCATTGTTTGCAGAAAATTGGCATGGAGAAGATTGAGTTTGTGATACCTGCAACAGCTACCCTCTGGAACAAGGGGACACTTAGAGATCTAGATGGACCATTGAAGCAGGTGTGTGTATTGTATTTCTTATTGTGTATTCTATTAGAGTAATAGGCTAATGCAATACAATAAAGTCACATATTTGGTATGATGTTTTTCTGACTATTGATGTTCCATCGCTCAAAAGGAAAACTTTTTTTCAAAAACATTTTTACGCATATTACTGCATTCAAAGTCCATCATAATCAAACCAATACTCTCACTTTCCGATCTTCCTAGGCTTTAAGGCGTTGATTGAAAATGCCAGCCGCGTCCTGACTTTCGGAATATTTTCCTTAATACTCAGTTATTCTAGTTTTGAGTAAGTGTATTGTTTCATTTCATTTCTGTCAATTTTGAGAATGTTTGATGCCCGACCCTTTGTTGGAGAGTATTTATAAATATCCATTCTTCTTTACAGGATGTCAGGGACACCATGTCTACGTTTGCAAATCTTGAAAGGTTGGGCCTTTTGGAGAAATATCTGGAGGACTACAAAACATTTCGAAAGTCAATCAAAAGTGATGATGAGTTCTTGAAAGAAGAAGAAATATCTCGTCAGAATTATGGACAGATACTGTTCATTTATGGATGTTAATCTTTATTTGTCCATTATTGCTTGTTGTAAAAATGCCATAACATAGTAAGAGGAAGATGTTATTATGCATCACTGATTTAGCTTTGCACTCTACCACGTTATCGTATCACAATATTGCAACAAAAATAGCTCGTTGAAAAATAAGTAGTGTTATAGATGTATAATTCCTTTTAAATATTGAAAATTAGGATGAGTGACATAAACTTAGAAAGTTAAGGTAAGAGAAAATGTAGTCATGTCTGCATTTAATACAGGGCGTCCACAAAAAAGTATACCCAACTTCAAAACCAAATTACTAGAATCCTGAGCAATCTTTTTGGAATCCAAAGGCAACAGCAAGAAGCCTTATTTGTCTTCCATCAAATGGTACCTAGATCATTATGTAACATTACGTATGACTGATCAACCATGACCATTCTGATAGGTGGTAAATTTAGCACTGTGCCAAATATCTTCCTGTGTGGCAATCGATGTGTAATTGGCTCAGTATTCTTTTTCTGTTACATTATGTTAGATGACAGGACTTTCATAATGAACTGGACTGGGGGCTGAGTAGCTCTCTTATGAAAAAGATTTGGCAAAAAGCTTACTTACTCTAAAATAGGCCTACAAACATGGTTCAACTGACACCTGAGCAGAAGAGCCAACAAAAAGATAGTGCAGTGTACTGTTTAAGAGTCCCTATTCTTACTATTGAAAATAGATTCTAGCAATACTGCCCAACATGAATCTACTTGTTGAGACTCAATCAACTTGAGTTCTTCTGAGAAAATGAGGATTTCAACAAGGGTGTATTGACTTCAGTAGGGGATCCTATTGACTTCAAGGCTGCATATCATCAAGTAGAAGTTTCATTGCTGTTCAAGAGGCTCTTGGGATCCGATTCCCGCGAGGGAGGTAGCAATAAAAGTTATGGAAAATTATGCAAAAAGGTTGAAGAACATGGAACAAGTTTGAATTTGAACATTAAAAATGTTTTGAACACAAAAAACATTCATTGTGTCAATCCTACTTGAATGCTACATTGGCACAGTGCTGATTTTACCACCTTTCATAAAAGTATTGATTGCTCGGTCATCCATGGCAGGTACATAATGATCTAGGTACCATTTGATAGATAATTAACTAGGCCATATACTGCAGCCTTCAAATTTTAAAAAATTGCTCAGAATTCTGGTATCCTGGCTTTGGAGTTGGGTATACTTTTTTTGTGGACGCCCTGTAGTTCAAAATCAACTTCTGTAGTATTTTGACACCACCTTCTAATTTGCCTCACTGACCTTTTATTGTTTCTCAAAACATATCAAAATCATGAAATTAGGGTGATGAGCGGGAGAATTTTGCCATGAAGTTTTCAAACTGTATATTGAAAGCGTTACAGCCCAATCCAACTCGTTTTTGCCATCCTAGATTATTTTGGTTATAAAGCTCAATTTTTGGGCATTTTTCGAGAATATAATTGTAAAATGTATCAAATGGACAGAATAGTGCACCTATGTTAAACAAGTATACCAGTTAATATCAAGTGTTGCTGTTGACCTCAAACATATTGATAACAGATGTGATATTTGAACAAATTAAAATTCTTCACAAAAATATAAAGCAATGAACAGATATATCACTGGATGATTATTATTGAATTTTAATGGGGCAAGTTTGTATGACATACTCTTCAAGCCCGAGGCCCGAGGTGTATACAGTAATAAAAAAAAGTTTCTTGTGTTTTACATCAATCTTGTATTGTTACATCCATTATTAACTCATTTGTATAAGTAAGTAGCTTAAAGTACAGTGATATCCCCAGCATTAAAGCAAGTGGGCGCAGCACCTACCTGAGATTTTGAAAATAGGCTTGCATATTCACCTGAAAATCCATTTGCAACCACTTGAAAATGAGAAAAATCATGAAAATTTGGCATATTTTGACCAATTTTGGTCTGAATTGTGAAAATGATAATTTTGCACCCACCTGAGAAAACATCCTTGGGAGATCACTGATGTATGTAATAAAAGAGTAGTATATTTACATATACAGGGTGTCCCGAAAGTATGCCCCCCCTAGGCAGACATACACCAATGATCCCATTGTACACTCCCCTCCATAAGTTTGGCAACCTTTTTTCTCCATTGAACTACGTGTTAAAGCCTCCTTACCTTTGAATTTTTATTTACTTAACCGGCGATGAAATAACTTATAATATTGATTATAATATAATATTGACCTTATTTCCAATACCTCCAAATTTTTTTCCTCAATTACAATAGGTCAAAAATTGATGATAAATTTGATGAATTTTTGAAAATCGTCATTCCCATGTAATCCAATGGGAAATGGAGGGTTCGGGGCAAATCAGGATATCTTTTCAGTAAAAGATTCAGCAAAAATTATTTTTATATAGAAAATTGAATTGTCTAACTTTTTAAAACACTAAGTGTTTAGTTTATGTGATGAATATAAAAGTTACAGTGCTCCAAAGTCATTTTTGAAAATAATTTTTCGCCTCCTGTGTTATTTCAATGGGAGAGATTTTGAAAAACAACTTTGACTTTAAAGCCCTATAACTTTGTTGAACCTGAAGAAACATATCAATTTTTTGTTAAATAAAGTTAGCAAATTCAATTGCCTGCCTAACTCGTATTTTTTGCAAGGACTCGGATGGATGGATATTCTGTCATATGACTTGCGGCAAACCTACCATTTCCCATTGGTTAACATGGGAATGTCGATTTTCAAAAATTCATCAAATTTATCATCAATTTTCGACCTATTGTAATTGAGAAAAAAAATTGAGAAAATTTGGAGGTATTGAAATTAAAGTCAAATTACCTTTCCATCAATAGTATAAGTATTTTCATCGCAGGTTAAGTAAATAAAAATTCAAAGGTAAAGAGGCTTTAACACGTAGTTCAATGAGGAAAAAAGGTTGCCAAACTTATGGAGGGGAGTGTATGTGTCATATATCATTTTAAAGCTCATCCAAAGTTACATTGATTTGCCAAGTATCATCGTTCAACTAACAAATGGGAAAAAGTTACAGGCATATCAAAACTTAGTGTTTGGCCAATATTAAAGTTAAAACCAGTATCCTGGAAACACCGCTAACCTGAATGTGACCACAAATATGGGTGCTATCGTCAAAGAGAGGATGGATATTGAGTTGTAAAAAGAGGTCGGCAAGGGCAGATACTCCAAGGAAACGCTTCTAAAATGTCTCAAAAGGGTTTTATGAGGATTATTAAATGCCATACCCCTATTTGTAGTGTATTTAAGGTCATATCTGGAAAGAATTACTGATGTTAACATGGCCAAGGGAGATGCGGCGACTATTAATTTTGTGTAAAATTAACTTTAATTTTGGTAGTGTTTAACTTTAATTTTGGTAGTGTTTAACTTTAATTTTGGTAAAACACTACATTTTGAAATGTGTGTCACTTTTTCCCGTTTGTGAGTTGAACCATGATACTTGGCAAATCAATGTAACTTTGGACAAGCTTTAAAATGATATATGATACATACTATGGGTCATTGGTGTATGTCTGCCTATGGGGGGGCATCCTTTCAGGACACCCTGTACAATTGAACCCCTGCAACAGGCTATATTTTCCTTAATACTTGAATGAATAGGCTCATATGTTTAATTTTGAAGAAATTACAAGGGTTTAACAAACATGCCTGAGAATAAGATATTGTGCAACATTTTATCAATGTGATTCACGGAAATAGTTGAAACACATTGGCTGATCTTAAAACAGCTGCTTTCAGTTAGAGATAAAAGTTTAAAACACTACCATATGACAAATGATGGGACACTATTTAAGCAGAAAACACATTTCACACGTTCATTGATCATTTTGAAGCAGTTTTAACCATTCAACAGCTCGGGGATATGTTATTTACACCAACAGTTAGAGGGGGGCCTCTTGTGGAAGGAAGTTGCCCCCTGTGACCGTGTATCTGAGAAACCCTTCATCAATTAGCTTTAAAAAATCACAAGAAAATCCAATGTTCAATGTTTTGAGCCATATTTCATTAAATTGGTCCATGATTTATGAAGATATTGACATTCCAAGATCATATAGGGTTATAATCGCGATTTCACTGGAAAATGTTTTCGTCTATGGAAGCTTAGAACATTTCTTTGGATCACAATTTTTTTGCAACTAACAAAGGTAGGATGCTAGTTTTAAGCCATAATGTGCAGGATTCAAAATTGAACAAAGTCGGAAAATATTAGTTCTTTAAGACTGCTGCTTACAAAATGTCAGGGGAAGGGTGTTGAAGGGTTGAAGAATCGCAGATATTGAAAATCACATTTTATCCATTTTCAGTAATGTTTGGTCAGGGCTTATAATTTCTGCAAATTTCAAGACTAAGAAAATATGTGATACCAACATAAATTTTCGACCTTCCTCTACAACAATTGAAAATATGAAAGAATTCCTGCTAGTAATAAGGGAAATATGGCCCGTTGCAGGGGTTCACTTTTTCTGGACCAACCTGTATATGTTCCAAGGTCTCAGCTTGAAGCCGTGGTTATAGATACCAACAATATGATTATCAACACGGTCGTGGTTTTCATTAAGGGATTTTCTAAAGATATATTGTCATATTTATAAAGATAAGTGTTTTGACCTAGAACTAGACAACGAGGGTGAAAGAACATAGTATATAACGGTGAACTTATTTATCTACATGTAAAAGTTCTCTTGAAATCTCAAATCACGAATAAAGGTTAACCAAATAAACTAGAAAGATCAGTTGTCTTATGTTTGCTAATGATCTCTGTAATTTCTCTATTGCTGAGAGATGAGTATATATGAAGACTATGAGAAGAGGGCAGCTGTCTATGATAAACACAGGGTTGCTGCAGGGGTAGACACACTCATTGGAATCTTTCTCGGACAGACTAGGAAACCATTGTCACAGGTATATATAATTCACAAAAGTATACATAGCTTATGTTTATGAGAAGAGGGCAGATGTGTATGATAAACACAGGGTTGCTGCAGGGGTAGAAACTCTCATTGGAATCTTACTCGGACAGACGAGGAAACCACTGTCACATGTATATATAATTCACAAAGTATACATAGCTTATGTTTATGAGAAGAGGGCAACTGTGTATGATAAACACAGGGTTACTGCAGGGGTAGAAACTCTCATTGGAATCTTACTCGGACAGACGAGGAAACCACTGTCACATGTATATATAATTCACAAAGTATAAATAGCAGGCCTGTCAACTTGGGAACACCTAACATGAGTGACTTGGAAATGTTGAACACCTCCCCTCAAAATGTGGACACCTTGGTCGAAATCTGGACACCTTGATCCAAATTTTTAACACATTGGTTTAAATTTTATTACATCTTGCCAAATTTTGAACACCTCAAATTTTTCGCGCTCGCTACGCTCACGTTTCAGACATCTGTCAACGGGGGGGGGGGGGGAGTAGGTACGAACATTTTCGAACGGAATGCGTGACATATACGTAATTCGCGTGAAAAGTCCGAACGAAATGCGTACATTTTTTTGCTTGACAATTACCAGGTAAAATGCGTATTTGCGTGACATTTTCTGTCACGCAAAAATAACTGGCGTGACTTCAAATTCTTCAGCAAATGCGTGACAAATACGCAAATTGCGGGACAGTTGACATGCCTGACATAGCTTATGTTTATGAGAAGAGGGCAGCTGTGTATGATAAACACAGGGTTGCTGCAGGGGTAGATACACTCATTGGAATCTTACTCGGACAGACGAGGAAACCATTGTCACAGGTAAGCAAAGGACTTAAATAATAATACATAGCTTATGTTTACGAGAAGAGGGCAGCTGTGTATGATAAACACAGGGTTGCTGCAGGGGTACGTTACACTCATTGGAATCTTACTCGGACAGACTAGGAAACCATTGTCACATGTATATATAATTCACAAAGTATACATAGCTTATGTTTATCAGAAGAGAGCAGCTGTCTATGATAAACACAGGGTTGCTGCAGGGGTAGAAACTCTCATTGGAATTTTACTCGGACAGAGTAGGAAACCATTGTTACAGGAATTTATAATCACAAAGTTAGTATAATATAATACATTAGTTTATATATCGGCATTGAAGTGGCATTTTTGTAAGACAACGAATCAAAATATCACCATTGTGAAAATAATAATGTAAATAAAAAATGCACCTTACTTGCGTGATTCTCAGAAATAAACTACAGAGTGGCCCAAAAAAACAATACTCCAAGAGATGAATGATTCATATGATGTACATGTATGTTAAACCATGCCATGTGTTATATATAATATAAAGATAAATCATTTTCTAACAAAATGACACCATCCAAATAAAAAATCGTTTTTTTCATGGAGTTAGAGACTGGAATTGACACCAGTTAGTGACCAAAAATAAAAAACATCAAATTTTTGGTCGCTCATGACACCCTGGCGTCAATTTTAGCCTCTAACTCCACAAGAAAACAACGGTTATTCAATCAGTTAGTGTCATATTGTTAGGAAATGATTTATCTTTAAATCGATTTACAATAAGTGGCATGGTTTAATGTAATATCATACGATATTCATCTTTAAACTTGGGTATTGTTTTTTGGCCCACCCTGTAGTACTCACATGGGATCATAAAAAAGGTGATAAAAACGATGATCTATCAATAAACTGGTTAAATAATGCAGGATGTGGAACTGGGAACTACAGTCTTGTCCTGTTGAAGCAAGGACTAGGGCATGTAATACTCTTGGACGCATCTGAGGGAATGCTGTATGTTGCCAAAAAGAAACTTCAAACTTTCATAAGATGTATAAAATAAACTAAATTTATTTATATACTTACTTCATATTTACCTAATTTCCAGCTCCATGTGTTAGATGCAGGTTGTGGCACTGGGAACTACAGTCTTGCCCTGTTGAAGGAAGGACTGGGGCATGTAACACTCTTGGACGCATCTGAGGGAATGCTGCATGTTGCCAAAAAGAAACTTCAAACGTTCATAAAAGGTACAAAAAACAATTTTCAACAGGCAGAAATATTCAAAAATGTTTAAGATTACTTTAGTGAGGCACCTCTAACACCTCAAAAAAGAAAATAAAGTGTGTTAAAAACCGTCGATCCAATTTGGGTCAATAGTAACAACCAAATTAAATTTCATGAACAAAATGGGGAGTTTAGAGGAGCGGTGTTTAATCATAACTTCCATCATTAACCGCAAATCCTGGAGAGCATACCCAATATCCGATATATATTAAATTAGATTAAGCATGTCAATATTTGACATAAGAGTAGATTAAGAATTGAAAAAGCTTTATTAACGTACAAATTATGTGTAATCTTATTCATTCTACTTTTTTAGATGACAAGGCAGTGGTCACCCATGGTATCATGCCAGATCTAGACTTCCCCGATGATACATTTGATGCTGTAATGTTTAACCTTACACTTCATCATGTAGAGAACTCACCAAACCCCGAGGGAGAATATCCAAAGATTTATAAAACTTTACAGGTGAATAATCAATATAACTAGGTCAACCTATAAAAGTTTATCAAAATAGGCTAAAACACTAATTTTTAAATTTTTTGATTTTTTACTATCATGGGGACTTCACTTGAAAGAAAACATATTGTTTTAATATAAACACTGTATTCATGGCCAGAAGGTACTCATGGTGAAAGATATGACTGTCTAAAATCACTTGCCATTCTGCACATGGACCTTTAAAGGGTGACGCATATCGTTTAGCAAATCGAACGCTCGTTTCTGGTGTTGCTCACCGTTTAGTATAAAAGGCCCGATCCCGGAATAATACTCAAGGGTTCACAGGTTCGAGTTCGTTGTGTCAACACCTCCAACTGTTATATAGCATAAGTATATTATAGATCGTCACACATTTATAAAAGGGTGATTTTTATTTTGATAAATCAATTCCACATTTATGGGTGAAGTTTCAGGATCTTCTATTTGTGTATAATAAGGAAAATTGGCATCTAAATTTCACCATAACGTAATAGCACACAGCTTGGCATATGAAATATCCTACAAATGAAACAAAGCAAGACAACCCGGTTTCTAATACAAGGATTTATATTGGCTGTTGTACATGTATTCTTTGAGCGCAATCACTCTTTGGATAACGTTTTCAAAATCATTATAAACGGATTACTTTATCTCAAAGACAATTTCAATAAACTGGATTTTACAGAACTCCCCTTATTTCTTAAAAATGGACTGATCCAGTTGATTCGCCTGGATCCACCATATTGTTTTTATACGGGATGCTAATCGGAACCCTTTAAAGGGAAGAAAATGAGAATGAAGATCGAGCCGATAGAGTTAAAAAACTAAATAAAAATACGTTCCTCTTTCCTTCCTTTTACATGTTTAGGATAATTATTTCTTCATTTTTTGTTTTTAGAGGGCAAAGCAGATGTTGAAACAAGGAGGGGTGATAATATTTTCAAGTATTTCAGCATGTCAAGTGAGGAACTCATATTCATGGCTTATGAATGACGAATATCAAAATATTGCAGTTAAACTTTTGGGAATTCCTCCTGATACGTTCAAACAATATTTAAAGGTATGTAATAATGCAAACTATTTTCGGAAATTGAAAGTTTTGAGTTGACTTACTGTTATTTCAAAGGATTGATACGATCAATTATGACGCAAGTAAAACCTGTGCATCTCTTAGAAGTGCAACTCATTTGGTACCCCAAAAAGTGTTCCGCTTTGGGAGTATTCCACTTAAAGATATCGGATGCTCAATTTACATTAATTTAGTCAGTATTAAACAGGGCTCCAAATACTGTTCCACTTATGGATGAGGTGTTTCATATACGAGGTGTTCACAAACAGGTTGTACTGTATATGAAATTGTCTAACCTCACGTTATTAGAGAAAGTTCTCCTTATGATTTGTTGTATTATTGATTTTTTTCTGAAATTCTAACTATTTTTTTATGTTTTTTTTTAATGTTTTACCCTTTTGGCTCTTGCGCTTGCACGTATTCACACCTTTTAACTCTGATTAAGACAAGGTGGTCATCTATTGTTTTGTTGGCATCTCCTGTGTTAATTGGCTCTTACCAAATTTTTCATGTTGTTTTAACTTTATCTAAAGCTAACCTTCCAATTTTTAAGTCACCATCACAAGTGGTGACATATTGTCATATAGTCTCCCAACTTTTTGGCGGTCATCGATCGACGTCAGTATGTTAATGCTTGTCCATACATATTTTTTGTTTCTAATCTGCCAGTCCCCTCATTTTAAAAATTGCAAATGTCTCTCCGTAAATTCTTCCTTCCACTTGTTTTTTTCCTCATTTTTCGGATAATCTTTTTATTGTTTTATCTTGCAGAAAATCGGCATGGAGAAGATAGAGTTTGTGATTCCTGCATCAGCTACACTGTGGAACAAGGAAACACATAGAGATCTAGATGGACCTTTCAAGCAGGTTTGTATAACTTAAGTAGTGGTCAGGTTGTGGTTATATTCAAATCTTAATTTTGGAAGACCATAACCCAGTAAAATTACCTAATAAGCATACCAGTGCAATCAATTAAATTAAATGTAAGTCAGTAGTGACCCCCTTTTTATTGCTTGACCGACGCGTTATGTATTTGAGGATGGATCCATTTATCAGTTTTCCCTGAAAGCAGGAACATGTGATGCAGGAGGGTGCTCTAAATCTATAAAACGGAACCTTATTTTCAAAGCACACATTCTCAATTCATTAAACTTTAATGATTTATCTTGCAGGAGGTTAGAGACTCTGTGTCTATTTTTGCCCACATTGCAAACTTAGGAATAATGGACAGATATTTGGACGACTATCAAAAACTTCGAGATTCTATTGTCAGTAATGAACAGTTTCTGGACATTGATGAAAAGAAGCGACAAGATTATGGCCAGATAGTATTTGTTCACGGATGTAAACTCTAATCATGTTTAATGAGACTAGAACTGGTACTATTCTATTTCAGTTTGTTCAGTTACCACTACCCCAAGATCACTTTCCCCTATGCTTCACTTTCTAGAGAAATATGGGACTATGTTGCCTTGTCTTAGTACTTTGAAACATTCTGCTCCCGAAATACCTATTCCAAGTTCTTGATAAATAAGTGAAAAAATTGAACAAAGAACATTATATAAAATTTATACATACAATAAATGTAATGTAATTTATTATTAAAAACTGATCCACTATTATATAAAATAGAGAGGAATATACTAAGATGTATGGTGTATTCATATGGTAAACCACCTACTGACAAATTACCATGATGGTTTTGTTCTAAAACATGAAATAGAATGGAAAGGAGGAAAATGATCATGAAAAACTAAGGAAATCAGGGGCAAGATGGTCCTATCCAATTTGTTCACCTAGGATAATACATTTGCAAAAATATCCTGGTTGTACGAAGCAAAAATAGTTGTACTAGATATACATGTAGTATAGTTAAATTGAATGAATACATCTTACCCGAAATGGCAGTATAGCCCCTGGTTCCCCATAACAGATAGTATGTACTTTGAAATGTAGAGCAAATCAATTTTCTTCATTAATTTTCAGATTTTTGCTATTTGAATTCATGAATCTTTTTAGACTTATTTCTAAGCCACTATTTCACTGTTCGTTTGTAATAACTTGAATTTTAAAATATTTGAATAAGAGCTGACATTTTTATGCACCATATGTTTTAGGCTGATATAAAATAAAGCAGTAGACTAGTGTAGTTAATACGTGTACATGTATGTTCATATTCTCTCTTTTAAAAGATGATATATAAACAGGTTAACTGTGCTGCCATCTTTTTATGATCATTCTATCACCCTAAACATATGTATGCATGTTTCTGTACAATTTTAATGATGACCTGATTACTACACATGTATTTTAGACCTTGCCTGTTCCTCTATATAAGCCATGATACACTTCTATCTTGAAAAAGGACCAGTGTCAGGCCTGTAGCCAGCTTTTGCCAAGGGTGTTCACTTTTCAGAAAAATTCCAGGGGGGTAGCTTTAACAAATATAGGGGTGGGGGGGGGGAGGTTACAGGCCTGAGTGTGGCTATCAATTTACATGAAATAATCTATGTAAGGCACTTTTGATATCCAGTTGTTCACATTGCTTTATGCAAATACAATGATAAAATGTGTTGTAAAAATATCACATCCAACTAGAAAAATATTGAACATTTGCCTAATTATGTCCATATCACACTGGCAGAGTACAAGATCATGCTACAAAGCATCAAATCAGCCAAATAGTTATTAAGTTTGTTCATACCAATTGATATACAGCTTGATTGCAAAACATGTATTTCTAAACCTTGTCTATTGAATTTAAGTTTCAGGATTGAAAGCATGGATGATCAACACACATTATACTTACAACTACAAGAACATGTACAATAAAAAATGATTGCTTTTGAGTTTCGATGTACTTTAGGAGCATAACTCATTGCGATGCCATCATATAAGATAAGTGCATTAGAATATCAGACCATACATAGTGGGTTGACTAATAGCTCTTGGGGGACCATACATTTTACCCTGGACCAGAATCTCTTTTGAAAAATCACATGACCCAGAATTTCTTTTTTTCTCCTACTAAACCAAAGAAATAATTTAAAAAAAACTGTTTAGGTAGAGATTACTTTAAACCCAAGTCCACCCAAAGAACTAAAAGCCAGCAACAAATGCATCCAACTGGCCATGTGTATTTCACATCATTATCCCTTTGAATATTAACTACTTACCATTGGCTGGTATGGGGCACTTAAGAAGAACAATCAAATGGGGAAAATCCTATCCATTTCAGGCAGTTGATTTCAACTACCCATTGTCTGTTATGGGAAGCTTAAAAACCATGACCAATTCTGGAATATCCCATCCATTTCAGGCAAGTAATTTCAACGTCCCATCGTATGGTATGGGACACTTAATTGTGTAGTACTGGGGTATGGGACACCAGGTGACTAATGCCTTGGTCACATTTGCTCAGATTTTCACTACGGCGCCCCGCCGATTGAGTATTTTATTCAAAATTGAATACAATATTGAACAAAACACTCAATCAGCCTGGCGCCGGCCGATCGATCGGAGCATATGTGACCAAGGCATAAATAATGATCTTACATCCTGCTTTATGTACAAGTGGTGATTACAAAAGTTGCATATCTTTGAGCACTTTGGCAAGAATGCATGCAGAACAATGCAGTACAAGTTAGTCTTGCATCAAGCCTCTGCTTCATCCACATATTTATCCAGCATAAGCTAGATATACAACTGGAGGATAAATGGACTTAATGCAAAACTACAGGTCTAAAATCCAATAAGAACTACAAAACAATAACACATCAACTCCATTTTTTTACATTTCTAGAACAATAGACTTTTTGAGGTTTCTAAAAGCGTATGCTTTCTGGATTCTCCTAACCTGTATATTTTCTGGTCAAAACAACTGATTTTGGAAATATAGCCGACAGAGGGAGTGATGTTGATAGGTAAGATACAAGACTTGATGAAATGATAAGCATGATAAAATAGCACACAAAATGCGTGAAACAACTAAAAGTATACTGTACTCAGTCTTCAAAATATGAGTACTGTATGAACCAAAGCTTGACTTTGTTCATTCAAGTCGATAATTCATTCATGATTGTGTATGCATATATGAGATGTGCATACTTCTTAACCTTAACTGATGTAATTTTGTGTTTGATCAAAGTTTACTCCACATTATGTATTTCAAATACATATACAGCGGAACCTGTAAAGTGGAAAACCTCTAGAAGTGGAACACCTCTGTTAGTGGAACACTTGGGATTCCCAAGACCAACTGATTTATTGTTATATGAATCTCTATAAGTGGAACATCTCCCAGGTGAACACTTTTAGATGTACCAAAGGTGTTCCACCTACACAGTTTATACTGTGCAGTAAGACTCCCTGCTTAGTAAAACACATTCAAACTTGAAGAGTGTTTATTTAAGAGGTGAATTTAACACGGGAGTTAATGGGAGAAATAAAAAAGCAAGTTACAGTGTTCAAATTACAGAAGTGTTCATCTTAGAGGGTATTCAGGTTGGGAAATTTACTGTCATGATGATGTGCATCCTAGTTTTGTAAATTGTATACTTTGAAGTACATTTGTTGTATTTTAAAAATAAAATGTATACTTTACAGAAACGTACATAAATATTCATCATGTACTTGTAAATAAACACAGTGAACTTCAGTAAAGGTCAAAAACTCTTCAACAGACATACAGCGTATTCTTCAAAATACATGCATCATATTCTTCAAAATACGTGCGCTGTGTGATGTACGCTTAACATTAATATAATAAAAAAGTTAGATATTGCTATTATATGTCATCTCTCAAAATAATAACAAGTCAAAAACTAATCTATAAACAGAAGAAAAAACTCAGTATCCATTAACAAACATTTCTGTATCGTGCGATTCTTTAAACCCAGAGACTAAAATTCTGTCTAATCCACCATTTCTAAATTCCATAGGATCCTTTATGCACGAACACCAAATTAGACAAAGTCCACAAATAAAGGCTGTCTGTGGACTTAACTAATATTCCTGGCCTTGGTGCGAAAATTAAGAATTATTGAGACTTTAAAAATGGTGGATTATTGTACAATTTTTACATAAATATTTACACTACGCTTCCTCGGGATAATTTCAAGACTCCTTAGAAGCATGTGCATAAACTAGAATTGACTAAATATCAAGCATAAACTAGAAGAGACTTTTGATATTTGACAATATTAAAGTAGAATATCTGGTTTGATTCAAGCAGCAGTTTCAAATATAACATACTCAACTATTCTGGTGTAGGACTTGTTATCACCCATTAGTGATCACACTGATTTTTCTCAAATAAGATGCGAAATTCTAATTTTATACATTGATTTTTTTGGACGGTTTTTGGTCATGATATGATCTGGGGGAAATATCACAGAATAGTTCATGCCATGTGACCTGCATTCAACCAATCACAAAATAGGAAACATGACAGTGGGATAATAATTAGAAATATCGATTAATCAGATAAGAACACCAGATTAGCTAAGTATACTATACCTCCTAATATAATCCATTGTCGTTAGTATTGCTTAAGTAATCAGACTGGAAAATATCTATCCTTGCCATAAAATCTCCTGTTTATTTTATGTTACATTATTTATTAATCCATGTCCTTTTTACAAAGGACAGCGATCCTATCCACAATTCTCAACCCAGTGCACTACACCAGCCTGCTAGTAAGTAGACTTTTCATGATCTTTATGTACAAAATATCTTTAATCCCAGACCAAGTTAATGCTCATTGAATGCTATTAAGAACATAGCAAGTCTTATCAGTTTACCATGATTAAATTTGGCAAAACTCTGACTCCCACGAAGCTAGACTTTCCGATGGTATGACTCAATAAAGTCAACCATTCCCACTGTGACCTTAAAATGAGCATGACATACACAGGAAGTGATGTCAGAGATGTGCATGAAACAAGCCATTTCTGAGTGCGATGTTTAATACTTCTATACAGATGACTTCACATTTCCCACTCTCCGTTGCGATTGCTTGATAAACGCCATATTGCGATCTGATCCAGACTAGCTCATATTACTAAGATCGCCAGCTACCTGAATAAACAAGCAAGACTGGTCTACATGTGTGTATGTATATATATATATTCAGTCAGTATGTGCGATGTTACTAGTCTTTGACCAGTCTATAAATATGATGTTGTGCCCCTAGTTGACTGGTAGATACCTCAAATACATAGGCAATGCATAGCAGAGTGTCTTGTGTATCACGATTCGTAACAACCTGGAAGTAAAGGCAAAAATACTTAAAACATACACCAGTGGAACTGAAGTAGAAAAACACACATCGAAATATATAAAAATATGCGACTCAATGTTTACTTTTCGCAATATGGTTAAAACTTTCACATTTCAATAGAATAGTGACTTTGAATGAACAGTACAAGCCAGGCAAATATGATTGTCACATTTTTGAACGTAACCCCAGTTCACAATTCCTAAATTATAGAATACTTGGCTTTGAATATACCATTGGAAAGTTGACATGATTTGCGATGAAAATACAGTACAGTTAAATAATTGTCAAAATGTACCATGTGGGTATTTTGAGCATTACAGTCATATACTTACTTGTAATATTGTAAAGTTTTCCAGAACACTATTCATCATATATTTCTCCGGTAAGTGCTTTAGTTTGTGTATAAAGTTTATCATATATTCACACATCGGTGAACGGTGTATCCTGTACACAAATCTCCCATTTTCGTAACGAGGATATTCTGTTTCTACTTTTTCGACGACTTGTTTTCCGAAGGAGCAGACTTTTGTAGAGCACTGTATAGTCATATTCTCTGTGCTTTCGTACCTGCAATGTCAACACATTTCTTGAATCTACTTCATTTTGATTGAACTAGGTCAGTATGTATAGACAAGGCACTAACATGCAAAATGTCACCACCTGCCATTTGTTACAAATGCCACTATTGAATAATGTTCACAAAAAGTTGGTGACTATACCAATGAAATATTTTGAATTAAATTTTATACAAGGATTGAAAACAATCTTGTATTGTATAATACTGTGAGGCTATTGGCATTTTCTTCTTCAATGTACATAAGTGTTTGCAAGCATGTGGCTCCTTGGGTTTATCCTAAAAATCAGCCTTAGATTTTGACAAAATGAGCCAAATATCAGAAGAAATGAAATGGATTCTCAAAAAATGTCACCCTTTTGTCAATTTCCATATCTAACCCCATTAGATACAAGATTTATCTGTTTATGTGCTTCCCGGACTAAAGCTGCTAATACAAGACTACCTGACTATGTTTACTTACTGACTTGTAACACCATAAAAAGCACCAGTCTCATCCTGGACGTTTGTATTCAGATCAGCCTAGAACAAAACATATTTCAAATGAAGATAAACAAGGACCCTGGACAAGTGTGTCTGTCACTCTGTGATCTGAGTCGGGGGGAGGGAGGGGGCTAGACAAGTGTGTCCCCCTGTGTACTGAGGGGGGGGGGGGGGGGTACACAGCCTTAAGGCAGGACCACCATAAGTGTTAAATAAATATCATAACATGATGGACCTCAAGTATTTGTTTATAAACTGTTTGCAATTTCAAAGAATTATCTATAACTTTGTGTTATGAATTGAACTTTTGAAAGACACAATTGTTTTTAAACTATTTGCAACTTCAAAGAATTATCTATAATTTTGTGTTATGAACTGAACTTTTGAAAGACACAATAGTTTTTGAACTATTTGTTGATGTTCTCTCCTAAGTAATTATAAACATAACAATGACATATAATTATAAGGGATGACATTAAGACTTAAATGAGGTGAAAGTACACCTACCCAAAATTTGACAAGAAAAAAAGAGGAAATTGGTCCTTTATCGTAGAGTTCTTGAAGTCCTCCTTTCTTTTCTGGGAACTTGTCGTATATTTGCCTGATATCTACAGCCTGCAAATAAACATAAATAAAAATAAATATATACAGTAAAACCTGTTTTAGTGAACAACTTTCTCAAGTAACGCCTGTCTCTAGTGGACACCCTTCCTCCAAACATACTCTACTGACTTCTGTATAAATTACCCTCACTTTTTAAACAGGTCAGTTCAGATTAAATATATACAGTAAAACCTGTTTTAGTGAACAACTTTCTCAAGTGACGCCTGTTTCTAGTGGACACGTACCCTTCCTCCACACATACTCTACTGACTTCTTTATAAATTTAACCCTCATTTTGTAAACAGATCGGTTCAGATTATTGCATACATGGAATAATTATTTGTGTAATGCTAGGAAAACTCTCAATATCTCTTGAAACAATACTGCATTGCATGAGGTCATAAAAGACAATTGAACAGTCAGGTGATTAAGCCACACATCAAATTGTTTGGACACCAAAGGGTTAATCTCAGATCATGTTAGCCACCAAGGGGTTAATCTGGACATCAAGGAGTTAATTTGGATGGCAAGGAGTCAACAAACTTGCAATCACTGTAGGTATTCCTTAGGAATCTCTCAAGAATTATGATGAATGATATTTAAGACATTCTCTCCCTGTTGCAGATATACACTCTAGGAGATAAGCTTTGAATGTGAAGATTATACACGCAGTATTGAAGAAAGTGGTCACTGTAACTTGAAATTTTGAAAATAGGCTTGTACACACCTAGAAACCTTTTTTAAAGATCCCATACAAAGAAAAAATTGCATATTTTGACAAACTTTTCTCAAAATGAAAAAATTGCACCTACTTGGTGAAAATGTTTTGGGGAAAAAACTGCATGGAATTATTTTAATAAACTGACCTGAATATGATATTCTAAAGAAATAATGAGAAATGCCCCCATGTAATAAGAACACCATTTAGAAATACATAAAAGACAATGTTTGCATTTAGACTTTCAAAATGATAAATATCCATGGATCATCTGTTTTTGGCACATGAACCCATTCTTATAGAAAGGTAATAATACTATTTTCTTAAGACATATCGCTTGAAATCTCTAATTTCTCCCTCTAAGGTGCTTAAAATTATATTTACTTAAAAAACATTGAGCTGTTTCTATCTTGTATCCATTACAACTTGATGTGTTCTCATTTATCTGTCCACATGGTACCAGAAATATTCATTTCATTCAAGTCTTTCTGCAAGGAGTGTACATCGTCATCACACATAGTAAAACTAAATAGATGAAATAACTCTCATACCAGAGATACTTGATGAGCTTTAATTAGAAATGGCCAGAGTGAAGTATTAATTAGAATATATCCCCTGTCGAGATATGAAACCTGTACATCAAATGTTAATGGGTTCATGATTCCTACCCTTGAATAAAATTTCATAGTGGTAAAGACCCATGCTGCAAAATGTAAAATTGTCCAGAAGAAAAGTGAAATTTTATACAAGGATTGAGTGTCAAAATATTCTGATGTTTTTCAATTTTCTGGAAAATAGACCAGAATTAATATAACTCAATGTGAAAATAGGCAATTGGAATTACTATGGGGGGATAGCAGGTGAAGAGTTCAAATAACTGAAAATGATTTTCAGAAAAGAAAGTGATAGCTCCTGAAATGTAAACTCAATTTGTAAAGTTATGTCAGAGATTACTTAACATGTTATTCGAAGGTCATCAAAAGATAACAGTTCTTGGTTCCAAAATTGAAATATTTTATCATTCCAAAACAAATATATCTTAGGATAAGATGAATCTGGCAAAATAAATAGTAATTAGATAGTCAAATTTTATTCATCATTTTCAGAACATATTTCTATATTTCCCAAAATTATATGATGTATGGAGTACAATACTAATGATTCAATCTGGAAAAAATTAGTAAATTACAATTATCTTTCAAATATTCAAGAAAATTAACTCTTCAATTTGATAAAAGTAAAAAATCTCACGAATGGACAATTATTTGGGTCATTCATAATCGCCTCAATAAAAAATAAACAAAATCAGATTTTGATGTGTTTATTACAGCGCAGGTGTGTAATAGTCACCAATGGCCAAATGACCCCTTCAAATTATATACCTACTCATGAATGATTTTAATGTATTTCTCATAAAATACTAATGACTAGATTTGACATGGGATTAATTTTCAATCTATGTTTGGATAATTTCTTTTTATTTCTTGCTGTTTCCTCTGTTTGGGCATCTAGAGTGAGAAATGGGCATGAAAATGATGACATTTTATGGTTGAGTACTCCCCTCATTAGTATTCTGATCATTCATAAGGGTCACATGTATCATTCATTTAAGGTCACCATCTCAGATATTACACCCTTTCTAACAATGTCACAATGTCACGGAATGGACATTCCAAATAAAAATTCAAAAATCAATCCATTGTTAATTTCATCAAAATCAAAGTTCCATATTTCGTATGTGGTCTATTTTAACTTTTCTTGAAATTGATGGTTTTCTGTGAGTCTCACATGACAATGATGATTACTTTCAATCAGGCGAATTAAGGTGACTTGGCACTTATTTGAAACCTTTGGGCTACCCATTCAAATGATTCACTTTGAATAAAGTGAATCACCAATTTCTTTTCACTATTTCGATGAAATTTTCAATATTCAGTCCATGCTGCACAATAATGATTGTGCACTTTAAATCTATCTTAGAATTCTTCACCAAATTTTCCGATTTCTTACTCTGAAACCTGACTGTTTTGGAATTTTATTGCGGTTATTTTGGAATGAATGGAGCACTCCCCAATGTATACACACAAGCTGTGACATGCACAGTAAATGCTCATGGAAAACTTCACTTCATTTAAAAATTCAACATTTTCATTGATGAATTCTTCATGGAGTACATAGCTAGCATATTGTGAACTTTTGTGATCTGTGGCATAGAATGATGTAGTTCAGATTTTAATATTTGCTCGTGATTGAATAACGTATCCTTATGGTGCTGAAAATGTCACTCGTTTTGATACATTCTCTATAACTGGCGCATCAAAGGCAAGAGATGAGTTGAGAATAGCTTAAAGGGGCAACAAGGACTGTAGAGAAAATTCAATTTTTTTTTTACTTTTAAGAGTGTAAACTCAGTTCAAAGCTTCTATAAAGGGAGTCTCCCTTATAGATTTTTAAGATCCACCATCTTTCAAGAGGAATATCAGCTGAAATAATGTTCATCGAGGGGGTTTCTTTGTAGATAATAAAAATACTTGTATATGTTAGTTTTGATGAAGTTTCCAAACTTAAATATATTTTGACACTGGTCAATGATCGTTGAATGGCCCCTCTGCATAAATTGTTGCACCTTTAAATAGGTGTTTAAATATAAGGTTTTACTGTGCATTATATTTGTACTGGAACTCATTACTTTTGGGAGATGATGGAGGCAAAAAAGCCAGGTATTGAAAACAAAACGGATCAATTTTATTGTATGCAACACCATTTATGTAATTCTAATGTGTGAAAATCTAACTACAATTTCTATTAATTTCAATAAACATAGCCTTGATCAAATTAATTTCTAAAAAAACACATTGACATTTGACCTTCTTGGTGCTTAACTCATTCAATACTGGGGCAAAAAGCAGTAAAAAACCGAAGAATTTGGGAAATTTGCCATATATGGTACCTCTGAGATAATATATAAATTATATACATGGGCATACATATGTAGTGTTATATATCATTTTAAAGCATATGATATACTCTTTCAGAATCAATAGGTTTTTAAGTACCATTTTATAGGGTGTCATGGTTACAAGAGTCCAAAAAAATACATTGGGTTTGTGCTTGGATGTGATATCACGTCCTTCGTAGTCAACGTATGTGCTTTATGACGTCATATCACGTCATTCGTAGCGAGTGAGTTAATGTACTGAATTGACTTACCTCTAAGAGGGGGTCGGCATAATTAGCAGTATTCCCTATATGTACAAATAAGTGTTTGTTGTACTGCTGGAAAGAACACAAAAATCGATCAGAATATATCTACATAGTTTTGTGATTCTTCAACAACTTTGATTCATACTAAGAGATTTATAATTCCATACAATCAATGTTGAATTCCTCTCAATGTGCTAGAGTATATCATTGGGCACATTTGAATGGTCGATGACTTGGAGACAATTTTCGGAGGTTGATACATGATCGTGTAATAGTACGGACTGATCAAGAGTTATTTTAAATTATATACTTCTGCACACTGGCCAGAAGCCTCATACAATACGGGACTCTTAACAGGTCAAGAAAATGCTAATGTATTTTCTGGTGTCTATGCAGGACTGAATACTAGTGTTACTTCATTTATTTAACATGTATGCAAAGGAACACTTGAATGATCACATTTTGTCCACTTACATTAACAGATTCTGGCTCTTGTTGTTGCTCTAAAAAGGCAGCAAATTCAACTAGCCTCAGTTTAGGTCCAGCAATGGAGCGGCCCTGCCATGGTGGGCCTTGGCTCTCCCCTGGTGGTTTCTCTAATCCATAGCCAACTGGACTACCAAATGATGGCTTTACACTGAAATAAGATAAGATTTGTTAGTTAAAATAGGACCTCAAGTCCTATTAAACAATTACTACTGAAAAACAAATCAGTTGCCAGGTTATTTTCCTAGATATGAAAAAACAATGTTTTATTTGACCATATGCAAATTTTAACAAATAAATGAATGGAATCAAAATTATTGCAATATTTTGTTCAGTTCTCCTATGATATTTTACCCAAGCCTGCAAAATTTCCATTTTCTCTATTTTAGTCAAAATATGTCAATATTTTGTGTTTTTATCATTTTAAGTGGGTGCAATTGGGTTTTCAGTAGAGTGCAGGCCTTAACTTCAAAATCTCAAGTTGGTGCTGAATGGTAATTCACTTTTATTGTTGGAACAATCACTGTACAACTAAATATTTCAACTTTTTATATTACTTCATAAGGAGAGTAAAAATGAAACTTACTCTTCTTGAGGTCTTAATCCTGGCTGCCAGAACTGCTGCTATAACAACAAAAACATAAATTGTTTTAATGTCATAGTAACAGTATCACTATGTGCAAACAAATTCAAAGAATTCCTAATAGTGATGTTTGATGTACAATTCCAATGCAGAGTTTTTTGCATTGTCATCAAATGCATGAAATTTCGTAATTGAGCAATGAAATTAATAAAAAAGTGAGAAGAGGAATTAGGCTGTACGTAGTCTACTATGTACACTATGTACTTTGCAAATAACAATGAAACTTGTGTCAGAAAGTGAAGGGGTAGCAGCGGCATAGCCAGCTTTCAGTGAGGGGGGGTACGATCACCAAAAAAATCCGATCATCAGTAAGGGAGATGCAATCATGGCATAAGAAACCCCAAGAATTGAAGATTTGTTGAATTTTACAAAAATTGATGCAACTTCCTTCAGAATTTAGGTAGAAGGTTCATATAAAAAGCATTCTAAAGCTATTTTCTTCTTCTATCTAATAGTTCTATTTCTATTGGTAATGGGGGGGGGGGGGGGGGTGCCACTCCTGGCTACGCCTATGGGTATGGTATCATATTTGAGAGATTTGAGGTCAGATATGAATAGTTAATGGTTACATATAGATAGTCCTATTGTGTATAATGCATACTCATGACATTGATGTTTTGTGAGAAAATGTTCCTTGAGAGAAAGGGATATTCATTTAAAATCCAGGGGAGAAATGTCAATTGGCAAGTTTTAAATGTATCTTACATAATATGAAAATATTTACCCCTGTAGGTCCTATAGATCCTCCCCCTATACCAGCAAGACCCTGAGCTACAGCTTTGTTATGTATAGCACTGGCTGATACGATCTGAGCCGATGACATGGCTGCCATGCTTTGTAGGGCTTTGTCTTTGGCAGCCTGGTCCTGGAAGCAAAACACAAAGAATATGTTCAAAATTGTAACCGTGGAAATCATGACATCATAATTAGGAAGCAATTGGATTAAGCACTTAAAAATTCCTAAAATAAATATTTGTAAATTGCACCTCTGGCTGTTTATGGAGAAGGGGGCGATTCATGATCTTCATACAATAACATTCTGATGTTTGATAATAAGAAGAGAATAATTCTATACAACATTTTGGCGTCAATGTATATACAGTTAAACCTGTCTTAGTGAACACCTCTCTCTGGGGAATACCTGTATCTAGGGAATCCCTTTCTCACTGAAACTGTACAAGTGGTATTTAATCTGAGTGGTTATTTTGCCGAATGGTCAAATTTTTTCATTTTCCTATTTTTAATTTTCCTAATGACAAGAAACTTCCAATTGGATAACATTATGAAGATAATATTTCTGACATTTAATTTTCTGAACCTGGCAAAAATTAGGCAATAGGCAAATTAAATGATTAGGCAAAATTATACACTTATCCAGTACCTGTATAAGATCACCTATCTGAAGAGAACACCTACTTACAGTGAACACTTTTTTGCTCCATAGGTGTTCACTACATACAGGTTCTACTGTATCCATAAAAAACAGATTTCTTAACTGTAAACAAGTCTTTAATGCCAAATCAATTTAAAACTGATACACAATTGAATTGAGTTGAAAGTGCATGTGTTACGGTTATGAAATTCATTGAACTTCTTTTATCGTAAAAATGTCTTTGAGAGTTGTATATGTACTCAATAATCAAATGTCTCCAAATGGTGACCTTTCAGATGTAACAGTTTTTCAGAAAAAGCTGAAATATTGAAGAAAATATATAATAAAAATAAAAACCATCATATTCAACTTCAAATTCATGTTTCTCAATACCCCGTAAAAATTGTAAATGAATGGATGAAAGGGGGTTAAATGAAACGTTAAATGGCCCATTCATGAATGTTCTGAATGATCATATGATATACCCCTGGATAAAAAAATGATCACGACAAATTTCAATTTAACATGTTATTTCATATCACTGAACAATTTTTTACTGATTATCACTTTATATATACGTATTTGGCTCTATTATTATCACTTTATTACTAGAAGAGACATTATCTTCATAAATTCTCAATGATAACCACAAATTCAAACATACCTTTTTTGTCAATGAAATGGACAAATATTTATAGAGTCTCGATCGGTGCTCCAAGAAAATATATTAATTGGTCAATTACCCAAACTCCCATTAACATAATGCCAAACACTGTGGCAGTGTCAGCTTTATATTTAGTATATTTGACAACACTGAAGTGTTCTTCCTTATTATTGTAGAGCCAGCAAAATTCTCATAATATCTACTCAATGGAAATTGTCAACAAAAAACTGACTAAAAGTCAGAAATTTTTCAAAATATAGTATACTGTACAAGTAATATGGAGTATAGATTGTTAAGCTCAGCTTCAAAGGCAAGCAGTTGAACCTGAAAAATAAGAAATCAATAGACTAATAGACTATTGTGCCATAATATATATAATAATATATATAAAAATATGCACACAAATGACATTTTTATATTTCAGATTATGAAGTGTTTCATGCATAAGCCTGTGCCCTCTTGTAATTTGAGGTCTGTCCGCCATGTTATTTCTATGAGAATTAGCATGGCAGAGAAGCATCAAAATATAAGAGGTTACAGACTTTATGAGCCAATTCACAAGCAATCCAAGATACACAAATGTCATTCATGTGCAATATAAATATATTTTTATATACATTATTGCACGATAGTCTTTAGATTTCTTATTTTTCAGGTTCAACTGCTTGCCTTTGAAGCAGCTTAACAGACTGTAAGCCAACCAAGTTATCATTTAGAAGAAATTAAGAGACAACAGAAGCCTTAGCAAGTGTCATTGGAATAGGAAAATATCAAAATATTAGTAGATATTGGCTGCGCAAGATTATAAACGTTATACTTGCAACATATTGAAAATGCCCATTTTTATTAGCTTGATTAGGTCTGTACCAGTTTTTGTTATGCATAAGTTTACAAAATATCAATATGTACATATACCCAGGATCTTTACAATGGCATTTTTCTTATTAAACCAAATTAATAACAAAACATAAAGACAATTGAGCAAACTTTAGATAAACTTTTTAAAAAGCTGAAATAATGTGTCAGTTTAGCTTCCATGAACCAACTTAGACTCCCTTTCCACTGGTTTTAATAGTTAGATGTATTGACCCCAGGAGCCCATTTCTTGAAATTCTCACCATTTATATATTATAAAATTCTACTGACTCATGATATGTCCATTAAAGTACAATAGAGTTTATTCAAATTGTGATAATTAACAATATTTTCAAGAAATGGGCTCCAGATTATTCAAAATGGCCGACACCAACAAGTTTTGCACCGTAACCATGGTAACAATGTACCAAATGCTACCTTAATGTGCCCTTGTATTTCCTTAGACTTGCGTTTTGCCAGAACTTGTATATGACTGGAGACTTGCTTACGGGATCGTGTTTTTCCCGTCCGTAAGTAAATATAGCGTGCAATTAACTCATTGCGTCCTATATAGAGACAAAACATGCATAAATATTGGGGTAACAACACATATTATAATCATACACACGGTCAGAGGGTGCAGGAATTCTAGGATGAGCAACTTATTGGAAATATATATCTAAATAAATCAATATCCAAAATACCAAAGTGTATAATGGTGAGAAGGCATCTGTAATTCTGTCAAGTCAATAAGTTTACTTGTGTTTTTAAGGCAAAATGCCTCTTTTAAAATCAGGCAGTTTTTAGAAGCCGAAATAGTCTAATAGGGCCTCTTATAGGCACATTTTTGGAACTAAAGGATATGTCCATCAAGTTATCACCCTAGATTTCCAAGCAAACACAACTCACAAATTCGCCTTCTACCTTCAATATTGTTTGGAGTTCTTTTCCTTTCCTTCGCGCCAGAACTTGGATGTGACTGGACACTTGCTTTCTTGTTCGCTTCTTCCCTGTCCTCATTTCTATATAGCGAGCTATTAACTCATTGCGCCCTATGTCACATCACAATAGAAGCAGTTAATATATAGTCAAGACAAAAAAGCACCATAATGCCCAGTTTTCAATTAAAAGATTGATTGTTAAATGCTTTCTTTTTAAATGCAGTTTCATGAAATTATAGCAAAAGAATAAGACAATTTCAGAATTTTCCTATATCTGTGCATTAGACTGATTTTAAAAGCATATTACATGTACCACAAGAATGGATAATGAGGGTGTAATTTTACTTTTCTACATGAAAATAGTTCATATTTGTTATTCTAATATGATATATGATGTCACAATAATGAGAACAATTGATTTACTGGTCTATAATCGAGTATGGATGACCACTAAATTTCATAAATGCAAAGTTGTTTTTCTGGGTTGTTCATCATATTTGAACCGAAACAAAGAGCTTGATTCTACGATTTAATATTGGCAAATATATGACCTCAGAATTTATTCTGGCCATTGCTAAAAAAACCTTAATTGATACGCGAATTCGGTCTTTTAACAATGAACAGAATAAAATTTTAGGTCGTATCTTTATTCCCTTAATCAACTCAATGTTACTTTGAAAAAGTTCCCAGTCTAAATCTTGAATGAAAGTTCATGACATTCTACATTAAAAATCAATTTTATTCTTTGCAACTTTATTTTCATTTGATTCTAGAGTCAAACACGTTTAATAGTCATTTTATTTACAACAAAAAACACCAGAAGAATCAATATAAAAGTAAAGAAACAGCAAAAAGGCAAAGTACATTTGTAGAAGCCTTTTCAAAACGATTCTGCATTAGATTATATATTTCGTTGTCAAATTTTTTGTTCTTATTTTTAAAAAGTCAGAAATTCCTGCATTTTCTAAGAGACAGAAATGTCCCCTTGATTTCTAAAAATATATGTTTTTTTATGTATAATCCAAACAAAAGCAAATCTATATCAACATCTATAATTTTTCCAAAGGGGGCGAATAATTACTCATTCTCTTTAACTCTTTCATTAAATGCTACATTCAATAGAAAATATTGACTTTTGCATTTTCAGGACTGTTGCTTTATTCATTTATCCAACAAGATGAAATTGCAATCAAGTGGTACGAAATTACACAAAATAGAAAACAATGATGCAGGTGATTAAGGGACTATCATTTAAGCTGCCGATTGTGCTAAAACAATAGTACAGCGAGCCTGTCAATATTTAAGTTACCATGGAGAGGTATGTGAGGTATGCCGAAATTTCACGCTAATTAATACAGTTATTTGTTAATTATTACATTATACAATCAACGTTGAACAATGGGATACAATATATTCTATAGATGACTGTTGTTGCCATGGTGATACTCAATTTCAAATTCACATAGAGACAAGGGTTTCTAGGCATTATTTCCTTTGGTAGATTTGCGTATAATGCCACGAGGAAATAATCAACATAAAAAAGTTCTAAAAGCCTGCAATGTCAATCAAATTTTAATGATGATTTTTTTTGATGAAAAAGTAATTAATTAGAATGATGGATGGCACAGGTGAAAAAATTAGCTTAGTTGGTTGGTCGGTTGTCATTAATAGTATGATATTAAAGTTTTTATGTTACAGGATTAAAAAATATGTTATATTTAAGAATACAAAATTACATGATAAAACAAGCTAACACTGCAAACAATATTACGGAGACTGTTGCAGTACAATATATAATTTAATTCTAATTACAAATCAAATCTATTAACAAATTAAAGGTGACTCAATTAAAAATCAATGATTTATATTAATCTTATATATTATACTTGTATTTTTGACCATATACATTCAATTTTATAATCATTAAGTTAAACTTAAAAAACAAAAAAAGTCATCAGTATAGATATGAAATAATTCTATTCCTTACCATACATTTTTCCTTCATCTGAGAGGATGATTTTACGACGGCCACATGGGGGATAGATGGCAAGGGCCTCTTGGAAGCTCTGCTCTATATCTGGGCTCCAGACACCCTCTGCATCATTCCCCAGTTCATCATTATTATTCTCCCCCGATGCACTCCCACCGCCACCACTTCCATTGCTCGCCGTCTCCACAGAGTTCCATTGGGTCGACATAAATGCCGAAATACCTGAAAATAGCCAGAATGCAAAATTTTAAATTATGTCGTCAAGGAAAAAAATCAATGAAGTTCTAAAATAAAATGAAAATGCACAAAGATGTGCCATGAAATTTTTACTTCATTCCTTTTTTATTTTGTACCCGCTAAATATAATTCTAACTTTTCACGTTTTTTATCAATAAATTTATTAATTCAACCTATTAATTCCATAACACTGATAGTGTTTATTCCCCTATAATTGCTTCTTTCTTTAACATTAGATAATGTATCATATGGCTTACTTTTCATGAACATCAATATCTTTCTTTTTAGAACTTGAAAACGAACACAACTTATCTCATAATATTACTTGTTATTACTTACTGACAATTAAAGATAACTAAAAAATCATAAAACTGAACATTTTTGAAAACTAAATTCGAAAATTAAAGTGGTGTATCAGACCATGTTCACATACCTTAATTTGACTTCAAATAAACAACAAATAAAAAATAAACAAAAAAAAGCTGCACTGCAATGATTGCTGATGAAAATCCAGATCACTCTAAGCATCTAAATTTTACGACGACCGATCACAAAAAACTAAAATAATTGAAATTACCAAAATTGTCGAATCCATTCATAGGGAAATCCAGCTAGTCCTGCATATTGTAAATAATCTCCATGTTTGTTACTAAAACTGAGGACACTTTGGAGCACAATATGTCACCAATGTAACACATGGCAGAATCTTAGTAGCGTCATAGCTACATTTCGACAGCTAGAATATTTCAATGGGATTCCAATGGAGTTACGAAAGCTACTGAAGGGTGCTGAACAGTAAAGTTTGTCAATACCTTCATGCATGGGAAAATAACATTAATTTTTTCTCATACTTGGAATATCTCAAAAATACCCTTGGATATGATATCCTAATAGGGACACCATTTGCCTCCTCAATTTGACAAAAAAGTACAAACGTGCAAAGAATTTCAGTAACCCCAAAAATTGCTGTTGCAATGAAGCATTTAAAAATATTACAAAATCTTCAAATTTTATCTAACATTTGTAGAAATAGTAAAATTCCAACCATGAATTAAACATTTTCAGGGAATACCATAAATAATTGGTCACAAACAATTCATGACCTTAATATAAACAAATACAAATGTTGACATCTCTAAAATAACAAATAAACAACAATTTGGTTGCCAATATTTCCGAAACAAAAACCAGAGATCCAGAAACAATAAAAAATGTAAATATAACTGAAAAAATCTGCAAATTAAAGTAGCAAAATAAGGAATGAGAGAAATGGATCTATATCATGTGGAATATAGGACATTTCTCAAATATTTTGACTTTTTAAATGAAAGTAGTCTCTGCATTTTTCAAGAGTTACGTTTTAATGAATCTTGAAATAAATATTTTGATGATATAATGTGTCTCAAGAGATTATATTGAAAACAGATTTTTCCAGGACATCTAAGCACCCATACCAAGATGGAAAAGAGAATCATATTAAAATATTTCAATTATTTGTTACAATTAACTGCATTGAGAGTTAACATCTGCAGCCTCTAGTCAGATCGACTAACAAAACAACCTTTTTTGGGGTTGTCGAGTTGGCCAAGAGGGCTTGAGCGCCAGCACATTTAGGCCAGGTGATTGGGGCCGTAACCACGAGGTTACGAGTTCGAGACGCGTGTGCTCCTTGCGTTTATTCATTTGTATAACTTTCCCATTCTATATTTATAGTTGATCATACCAAATGACATAAACCATGAGAGCAACATGATAAGTGATCAGCTGATTGAACTATAATTTTGAACAATCTGTAATTACAAGAATAAAAATATATTTGGAGGATTATTTCCATATTATAAATCCATTCGTTTCTCCCTAAGCCTCATGTAAAAATCTGTTTTAATTAAAGAGTTGAGGTCCAATCCCTTTTCTCATACAAGGTTAGATGATACAAAATGATATTGATGATTTTTTTTATATCACTACAATTCATATATCAGAGGTGAGCAGAGGATATATGCCATTGTCTGATATCCATAGAATTCATTTTTATTAATACAAAAGCTTTAAAGACTATGTCCAGTAAAAGTGTATATTTGCAACTTATATTTGAAAAAGCAATCAAATTCATTGACTAGGTATCAGCCATTGCCCCTTATTCATTATCTATGTTAGGGAGGGGTTCAACAAGGACTTGATAGATAGTATCATACTTTCTAAGTATTGTAATTGGGAAACCTTTCTTGGATAGTTTTACCATCATGGAAGAAAAAGAACAAACAACAGAACAAGCTTTTAATCTATCTCTCACTCATATTTGTAGTACCTAATTACAGTACATTTACACAGATGTAACAATCAAGTTGATTTCTGGGATAGCACCAGGCATCAGATTTATGGAAAGGATTACCAAATCTGAACATGTAGAACCCACCTGTCTACAGTCAACTGTTCTCTAGGAATGTCTTTCAGATGTCACTCTTCTATCTCATCCTGCACAGAGACAGGTGCAATTGTGTACTCCTTGGCTGAATTTCATAGACTTAGGTTGATTGTAAATTCTTTATTGCAACTATAGTCCCAATGACATATCAAATGCTAATATTTATAGATTTTATGAAATCTTCCCATTTATCATCAAAATCTACAGATAAAATCCTGAAATTTCAATATTTACTCTTAGGGTAAGGTTACGTTTAGTATAGGCTACTCAAGTGATGAATAAAAAAAATAGTTGAGACTCATTTAAATATTAGGGAGTTTAAGCTTGCATATAAAATCGAAACACCAACCTATATGTATGACCAATAGCCCATACAAATGCATCCCTTAATTTTTTTCGATTGAAAAACACTGCCAGTTTAAACTCCCAACTATCCATGGGAAGTAAACCGATCCATGCTAAATATTGTACAGTTTTAAGGTTTATATTATACAATTATTGACCTCTCCAGAGGTTTACTGTCAAAATTATATCCCGAGACTGTAAACCGAGACCGTAGGTCGATGTTTACAGTCGAGGGATATAATTTTGACAGTAAACCGAATGGAGAGGTCTATAATTGTTTTGTTAGTCCGAAGAATATCTTAGATTTTTCTGACCCTTGAAGTTGACTTGAAGTTGGATCCAGACCCTCGAGACCTTATCTACATCTGCCACGGCAGTAAGTTCACTCAATGGAGTCAAATTACTCTCCTGGGCGAAGTCCACTAAAAGCTTTGTACAAAGTTTTAGATTTTTCTTCGTATTTTGACTGTCTTTACTCTCTAAGAGACTAATAATATCCTCATCTTCAACATTTTTGAAACGGCTAGTGCTAGCGGCGGCCATTTTATCGTCTGATAATGACGTCATTTTAGTGGAATGCTGGGAATATTATTCACCGGCAATGCATTGCGCGGTGTACAGTTAAAATTATTCACCGCTCGTTGACCAATCAAAATCGAGTATTTCAACTGAGGTACTAACAATAGCAAATATTGTCCTCTGAATCTTTAGCTTAAGGTAAAACAGTTATGATAAAAACTGGGTCTTGCTGATATTTGGTTCCAAGAAAAAATGTAAGAGTTAGTCTTATCAAGTGGTACATTATTTTATCAAGTGGTACATTATTGTATCAAGTGGTATATTATTGTATCAAGTGGTACATTATTGTATCAAGTGCTCAAAGAGATCCATGAGTTACATAGATTACGTTATGATTATATGTATATTTTCCGAAAATTAAAATAAATGAATATCTTTATATACATTTATTTACATAAAATATTATTCCTAATATTTCAACAGTATTTATCATACTTTCATAATCTCAAACTTCTTAAGGCCTATAACAAAAATATTTATTACACCCTTTAGTACCAATTAATACAAAATATCACAATAAATATTTTGATTCATAAAAGTTATTCAAATAAAATTTATATATTGAGTCATAGACTCTGTAATCAATTTAACCTGAAATAGCATGCACAAAGTACAATGAACTGTTAAATATTTTTACTAGTTTAGTGCTACGGCCTATTGTAAACATTTAATTGAAAAGTAAACATTATTTCTTAACACTTCAACTACCAAATGCAATCAAATGTAGTAAATAAAATTAAAGATTACCAATAAACATTTATATACTATTTGGTTTTTAAATAAAATGTATAGCATTGCATACCCATTATAGAAAAATATTTCAAATTTTTACCTGTGAATTCTTGGAAATCGTTCATTCCTGAAAATCATTCCACGAGTCAAGTGATTAATCCGAAAATTGTGAAAAATGACAAACCCATAAGCAATCAACAATGATTAACCCTTTAACCCATCATTCTAATAGCACAGATTGAATCCAATTTTGTAGAATTAATTGCTTGATAGAATGGTTAACGTCAGGAAATGAGGTATTGTTTAATGATAATAGCCAATGGGGTTTAGGAAGAATAAATTAATTGCAGCACTGAGCAATTTTTCCATACTGTCAGTCAAAGAGTACGACGAATACTAATTCATCTCCAGATAAAACAAGGCAGTTAACAATAATTGTACATTAATTTCCTCATCATTTCATTAATAATTTGTCGTATGATTCAATGAATGATCTAACGCTACAAATTGGGACTAAATCAGGAAATAATTGCATAATGAAAATTAAGACCTTTAATAGGATAATTCAGAATTAAGGTGAGAATATAATGTAAAGAATCATAGAAAGTTTTTAATTATCATGATATAATTATAAATTGATAAAAGTTATATGTGAAGTCTCCCCACACCTCCTATCTCACAACATTATCTATTATACATCTTTGTAAAGGGGGGAGGGGGGCAATCACTTTTATGCCAGATTAAAATTCAGCAAGTACAATTGAGTTTATAAAAGAGAATTTCAACATATGTTTACACTTGTTAATATATGCTATTTGATATGAAGCTATTTCCTCATATTCGATTATGAGTTAGAAAAAATACTTGTCAGATCTACTCAAAAATATAACTAATATAAGTAACTGTC